TGTGTCCAATAATGAAGAGATACACCCAATCCGAAAAGGCATTTCTGTTTCTATAAATACCCCCCTTTTGGATCATTTGCAATTCATTCATTTTCATTTTCTTCTATCTCCCTCTCTAAACTTGAACCCAACCCAAGTGGGTTCAAACCATAGGTTAAATGGTTCGAGCCACTTGAACCCTAATCCAATTTCATCGAGCCATATTAAGATTGGTCTGAACCATTTGGTTCGGATTACACCCAATTCAGCATTTATATAATATATAGATGCATTTTTGAGTCAGAGAGAGTATTACACGGAGGAGGTTCGCCGTATCCACGAGTTTGTAGTGCTGCTACTAATGGATGTAGACCGTTGTATCCTGTGAGATAGACGCTACTGAGTCCGTTAGCACCATAGCGGGGCGAATCTGTCTTAAGGATATAGTATCCAATACTAGCATCGGTCCAGGTTCATTCCTTGTATATTATTATTATTTATTGCTTTATTTTGCATATTTAATTAAATATAGAGTTGCATATTTAATTAATAATTTCTTAGCATATTGTTAATTATCTCATGACATATTAGTATAAGGGTTGTTATATCTTAAAAGTCACATTAAGCATATATTTACCATCAATCTTAAGACAGATTCCTTCCTTGCGTAGATTTTATTATATGTTTCTATTTAAGATATAAACAAGTAGATATTATACTAATAATTGAGATATGATAAAATAATATTATATACATTATTATATGATAATATGTTAAATATTAATGCATTCAATATTATGTGAAATTGAAATATGTTATATAAGTAGATTATTGAATTATTCAATATTGGTTGAATTATTTAATTTTGTAATATGATATTATGAAGTATATGACATTACCTCAAACATGTACCCACTAGATGTGGAAAAAAGTACTTCGTTACTTTTATCATTGGTTGCACAAAATACCGTTATGTGTATTTGCCACGAAGCAAAGATGAAACCTTAAAAATGTGACATCATATGAATTATGGAAAGGTTGAAAACCTTTCTATAAATTCTTAAAAGTGTGGGGGTGTCTATTTAAGGTTGCAGATCCTACTCCTATGAAAGGTTAGAGTGGACCTAAAAAATGACAACCTTGTAGGTGAGTGTGTCGTGGACGGGTGCAAGAGGCACTAACAGGCTACCACACTAGGCGAGCTACAAGTGCACAGTCTCTACACATAAAACCTTTGATAGGTTATACTCATAACAGTATTGCATATCATTTCCTTGTGCCTAAATCATACAATGAAAATAAAGATGAACTTAGAGGTAGTAAAAAGGTTAGAACGTCTAAATCTTTTATTCCTGATTTTCTAGCATGTTTATTGGAGAATAAACCACAAAGATTTAAGGAAGCAAATTCTTCTCTTGATTATTATTATTTCTTATATTAATTATGTGATATAATTAATCATGTGATATAATATGAAACTATATTGTTATGCAAGTTTAATATTATTTTTATAAATGTTTACTTTCATTTAATACTATAATATTGAACTATGTAGTTGAATTACTTAATGTGTATTGTAATTCAAATTTACAACATAATTTATTTAATATGTGATATTATTGAATTTTGTATGAATGGACTAGTACAACTATGTCAACTCTTTTGATAGTCAAAGGAAAACAATTTATACTAGTGTTTAAGACACGTATAGCTGTAAATGGGCTGAATCAGAGAAAATTTTCCAATAACTCGAAAGAATTTAATGGAAAATGTTATGGATACACTAAGCAAGTACACCAAGACAAGCTAAATCAAGCTAATTAGCTCTAATATACAATTTAGCTAAAAGCTAAAATGTTATTGAGTTGCAAACTAGTTAGCTTAGGTATAAGCTAAAATGATTAATGAGGTGCACAGAACCTAAGAGGAAAATGAAAAACTGTCAGTTGGTTCTAGCTCTTAACTTGATAGTAAAAAACATGAGGGTGATGAGTAGCCATTTTAGCCATAAGCTATTTGAGTTATACATCATATCTGCTCATGTAGGAGGGAATAATACTACTTGTAAAGTAGTAGTTTTTAAAAAATATTCTTCAAAACAAATTACTCTACTACCGAGATAGACCACTTAGATAAGTGTGTACTAAAGTTATGAGCTACTAAAATTGCTAGCTAAACAAACTTAACTTTAAGCTAGCGGTAATAACTGAAAAGTGGGTGCTCATCATAACTTAGTAGTGAGATATGAGAAGAGTGTGTAATAACACTTGAGAAGTGAGTGCCCACTCTGTGGTGATTGTATCCAAAACTTAAATAATAAGATAATTATTTGTTTAAATGATTGAGTTATGTGATGTGTGATACATGAAAGGTTATGACATGTTAATATGACTAACTTAATATGAATAACTCAATTCATAAATACAAGAGATGTAAAAGCAAATATTAATTAAAGCCCATATCTCTAGCATTAATTCACAGTAACGTCAGTGACATATTATAAAAACAAGTTAGAGATAAAGTGAATACATATGCACTAGAGACTGTTAGACATGCTTGTTGAAAAACGAATATAGAACCTTTGAAAGATAGATGAGGTGAAATATTTAATATATGGTATTTCAAGAGTTGGAAAACCATAAGAAATATATCATATATAAAATTTCAGGATTATCTCAAAGTTGTGGGGGGATATTGTTCATAGATAAAATTTGCTATGAGTTACCTCACCAAATAAGAAATACTTATAAATGTAGGGTTATTAATCCTAAGAAATTTTGGATAGAACCAAAAATCATTTATAGTATTATAACAATAGTGCATGTTATTTCCTATGAGGAAAATATTATGGAACAACTAGAAAAGTTCTTTTTCCAGCGGAAGAGCTGAGTTATTTGTTCTAGTTGAAGAGTAAAGTGTGCAAGCTTATAAATCCTTGAGTGGATTAAAGCTAGTACCAAGACAATGACATAAATGTGATGTATAAGTCATTATATGCCTTAAAAAAATTAATGATATACTAATTAGTATATTTGATATGAAAGATTTAACATCTAATAACATAGTATATTCTCAATAGAGTGAGATTGAGATAATACTAGTTATGATAACAAAAGCCTAGCTAACTTTTGTAGATGTAAATCTCAAATATAAATACTAGCCAAAGTATATCATTGGTTGAGATTGCAAGGCATCTTAATAATTGTGTTTAATTGCACATTTTCAATCCAGGATCGGATCACTGAAAAATAATAAATTGGGTAGTTCAGATACACCCTAAATCCAATATTGTATAGATCGAGGTATCTAATTAAATTAGAGGTGTAACAGTGATGCAATTTGGATATGGGATATTAAAGACTTCAAATCCAAGAGTAGATATGTCTTTTATATTAAAGGTGTAGTTGTATATTCTTAATATAACTCAAAGTTAAAAACTTTGAATAAATCAAATAAGAAAGTCAATAGACTTCACCTAGAGGACATTTCAATGTAAGTTTACACCTGTGCCACTAAAGAAAATGATATTGCTAACAATAAGCAATTTTAGGGCACAAAGTATACAGTTGCTCTCACCTGGAGAAATCTTTGCAGAGTGTAATATTTCTAAACACAATCTTGTGGCCACATATAAAATTGAGGGTTGTACTAGAGAGCAATTGTACAGATTATCGAGGGAAATGGGATTAAAAGCCGAAAGCTAACGAGTCACCTTAATGGAAACCCAACCTAGTTGACTGGAGATCCCAAGATCTAAGTTCAAAGGGACAACAGAAATTCTGAGTGACTCACCAGAAACACTGGGAAGATATAAATCTTCTGCCCATTTCTATGATGAGACAGTGCTACCTACAGCGATGATTAGGATAAGTTACGCTTTTAATGACTCTTATACCTTGAAAATTTAAGTGGGGTATGGTAGGATACTCTTAATAAGAAGTCACCTATATGAGTATGGAGTAGGGCCGCTTCTATGAGAACTATAAAGGCTAAGTTTTCTAGAGCACTCATTGAATACCAGGACTTGTTCAGGGCCAAAATGAACACAACAATGAGAACCAACTTTGTGAGGAAAGCTACTGTGTGTTTGTTTTTGTCTTGGTTTACATAAATGGCTGAACAGTTCAAGACATCGCGTTCACTGGTTAGCTAGTAAATCCGATAGCAATACACTAGGGAAGATTCAAAGCCAAAAGTCACCTATCCTGATGCAGTAACTTTTCGACTATACTCTCTCTAGTGTCTGCGTGATCATTTTTTGCATTTTACGCAAATTTCTATTCATGTGGGGGATTGTTGGAAACGGGGGCATTAAAAACATAAACTTTGATAAGATTTGAAATAGATTCCGCTAATAATTTTTTACGGATCTCTAGACAAGCTCGTTTCTCTCCGCAAGGAGATGGACGTGATATATTTACTTTCTGAAATTCGTTTCCGGATGAATGAGAAATTAGCTCCAAAGTGTGGTGTTTTGATAAGCCTAAATGGGTATGCAAAATGTGGGAAATGTTTGTCCTACATGAAAAAAATGTTGAAACAAATTAAAATTTAAATAAGCTGAGTTTAGGATTTGGGCTTGGGCTTGGGCCTAATTGTAAAGTCCAGATTATTCTTTTTTGGAATTTTGGATTGGGCCTAATTTTGGGCTGGGCTTATTTAAATGGGTTTCACAAATAAGTGGGTTTTTTGGGTGGTTGGTTTTTTAAATTAAAAAAAAAAACTACTTTTTAGTTTTTCTAAAAGGTTACACCTTTTAAATTAAAAAAACCATATTTTAGTTTTTCTAAAGGGTTACACCTTTTAAATTAAAAAAACCACTTTTTAGTTTTTTCAAAAGGTTACACCTTTTTTCGAATCATCATGACCCATGGTTGCACCCACTCGAAAAGGCACATTGCAACCTATTGGAATGGATGTGTCTATTGGTGAACAGACACCATGTGAACCATTGCAATCTATTGGAATAGATGTGTCTAGTGGTGAACAGACACCATGTGAACCATTGCAACCTATTGCAATGGTTGTGTCCAATAATGAAGAGATACACCCAATCCGAAAAGGCATTTCTGTTTCTATAAATACCCCCCTTTTGGATCATTTGCAATTCATTCATTTTCATTTTCTTCTATCTTCCTCTCTAGACTTGAACCCAACCCAAGTGGGTTCAAACCATAGGTTAAATGGTTCGAGCTACTTAGACCCTAATTCAATTTCATCGAGCCATATTAAGATTGGTCCAAACCATTTAGTTCGGATTACACCCAATTCAGCATTTATATATAGTATATAGATGCATTTTTGAGTCAGAGAGAGTATTACACGGAGGAGGTTCGTCGTATCCACGAGTTTGTAGTGCTGCTACTGGTGGATGTAGACCATTGTATCCTGGGAGATAGATGCCACTGAGTCCGTTAGTACCATAGCGGGGCGAATCTGTCTTACGGACATAGTATCCAATACTAGTCTCGGTGCAGGTTCATTCCTTGTATATTATTATTATTTTATTGCTTTATTTTGCATATTTAATTAAATATAGAGTTGCATATTTAATTAATGATTTCTTAGTATATTATTAATTATCTCATGACATATTAGTATAAGAGTTGTTATATCTTAAAAGTCATATTAAGTATATATTTACCATCAATATGTCTTTCAAGTAGTTGTAAAAACACTTTTCTAATACTTGATGTGAAAAGACAACTATTCTCATAACTTATGAAATTTTTGTCAATCTAATTTTCTTTGGCAATTTGAAGTGCATATTTTTCATATAAAACTAAAAAAATTGTCACATCAATATTAATCATCTTTAACTGTTATTGTAACTAAGAACAAAGGTTGGCAGAAATGAGGTAATTATAATTTTTCAAAACACATGTGAGGTAAGTGTAATTTACCCTTATATTTTTACCTTACCAAATTTAATACAAGAATTTGTTTTACTTTTGTTATTGATTTTCTCCAGATTTTTTGTTAGTTAGAACTCAGTAAACCAAAGTTTGATGGAGCTAGGGATGTTTCTGCTTCAAACCGTTTGGGTACATTGAATCCATAAGCTGCCATCATTGTCCAGCCTAGTATGTTGTTGCTGCAAAATTCAACAACAGTAGTTAATGCTACTTTTTTTTAATTAAAACAACAGCAACAATAGACACAATGTTGAAAACTACTTCTCTGTCATTAACTACAGTTCTTAATTGACCTAGTCTTTGTTTTCTTATAACTCTCTACTTGTTTGGCATATCGACTTGTTTTGTGGAACGTTTTAGTTATATATCCTTGAATTTAATGTCATGAGATTAAATACTTAGCCGGGCTTTGCGACCAATTATTGATTTTTTATTAGTCAACTTGTTAATGATTCTAAGCCCAAAATATAAACATAAAAGGTTGAAGAAATCAAAAGCAAGAGTTAGATATGATAAAGTGTAAAAGAAAAAACTCACCATATAAAAGAGGCATCCACTGAAACCTCTTCATTCTTTAAATATCCCGCCAACAGAACTGGGATTGCAAAATACCAAGCTGCCACAAAAAAAAAAACAAAAAAAACTCTTAATAGTTGTAGATTTGAAGTTCAAACCGTTGAAGAAAATAAACAATAATTAATTAATTAGCAATACTATTTGGATGGCCAAAAAGAAGGTTATACTTAGAAGATTCCATCCAACTGTGAACTCATTCGAGACTCGAGTCTTATTTTATTTATTTAATTTAAATTTTTTTTTTTTCTTGAGACGTTCACGTGTTTCACTTGAATATTTGAACTTTTACCTCTTGAAAGATGATAAGATATCGCTAGGATATAATCGTTGGTGCTCGAGTCAAGTACAAATATACTTTTTTTTGGCTTAATTTGGGTTCAAACTTGTTTTAACTAGTTTTAATTCCATATTCAAATGAAAAAAATACTGATTTTAAATCTAAACAATCCTTTAATAAATGAGTAATGTTGACCAAACTCGACATGTCTATTAACAAACACAAAATTATTGGTGAGGTTAATGAGTCGAAGAGATGTTCAAGCCCAACTCATTTTCTTAACCAACTTTAAATTTAACTCGTTTACCTAGAAAACATGTGTTGTGGGATAACACAATTCAATATTCAATTCTACACGGATTAGATGTATATTCAATTAAAGTATATTTAATAAAAAAAAAACTTGAAAAAAATTTAAGTAACAGTGACTTAATTATTACTAAACACTTAAAATTCAAAAAGTTGATTAAAAAAAAAAAAAAAGACCTAAAATTTTACTACCACTCTTAAAATGGAATGAACTCGTCCACGATTTGCAGCTACTTTTTCAATAAGACGAGGGAACTTTTTTTTTTAGGAATCACATCAAGAATCAAGAGAGGAATGTGATGCGATTCCTAGCATACTTCTTAAATAATTTTTATCAGGAATCCCATAAAGAAGGAATTTGGTGGGTTCACACAACCCCTCTCTTTTTGAGTTGATGGGACTTCCAATATCAAATTTAATAGTATAATGGCCGACAATTGGGGGTCAATTCACATGAACTAGAAACTCACCAGTGCATAACAGCTGATGCGAGGGACAACCTAATGAACCCCCATAGATTTTTGAAGGCCTCCAGTGAGAATCCATTCCATGCTCCACCACATGTCCCACTCAAAACATAGACCAGCGGAGCCACCACCATGACAGGTTCAGCACAACCGCTGCACCCCACCCCAGCCTCAGCATCAACAGCCAGCTAAAGAAAGTATGAAAAATTAAGGCCGCCACGGCGATCACTGCCATGGCCATAAACTTCCTCTCTGTAGAAACTTCACGAGTGGAAAATTGGAACCACAAACGTATAATTGGAACCACATCTTATCTTAGAGGGCTGGCAACCGGAACGGGTATGGATAGGATTTGCCTAAATTTGTATCCGTTTCATTTAATTATGGACTAATAAATACTCGTCACATATATGCTACGACTTTTAATTTCACAATTCATATCCGTTCTTTTAAGAGATGAGTGTATACCTGACCGTCCCGTTTCCGTTTACATTATTATTAATTTTTTGTTATCTATATAAATAAATTGATAAAATTTATAAATCATATACAATGCAAATATATATATATATATATATATATATATATATATATATATATATATAAACACAATAATGTGCATACATCTATAAGACACATATACTTCTATATATATATAATTTTTTTTTTTTTTTTTAAATAAAGTATAAAGAGCAAGGCGGGGCGAGGCGGATGTTCCTCAAAACCCGTACTTGCCCCATAACCCGTGACGGGTTTAAAATATAAATTCATACCCTTCCTACGGTACATAAACAATTCTCATACCCGTGCCGTTAGGAGCATGACAGGGCGGGGCTCCAGCGGAACGGTATAAATTGTCATCCCTACACCTTACAACATAACAAGAATCTAATTGCTAAATTTTCCCACAAAAATATAAAAATATATGAATAGTAAATCATTTTTGGCGTAATCTTGGCTCCACCCCCTGCACACGCGCATATATAGAAATTAAAATTTTTTTTTGGCCACCAAATATAACGGCCCAATGGCGATACGACTTCACAATTAAGTTATTAGGTAGGGCTAATATCAAATTCATACATATCTATATATTTACATTTCCACCCGAATGCAACATGGACAAATCCTCCTTTAACAACAACTTTGTAACAATATTTTTGCTTTTAAGAGAAAAAAAAAGTACAGAAATATTCCAACCATTTGAAATTGCATAACTGTATTTGATATGTTACATAAATCTGTTACTTTCTAGAATAAGTTGTCCGTGGAACGAGGCAGTGCAATCATCTATATGTCCTTTCTACGCTCTATCTAATGCTTTGGGAACTATGTAGGACATCTTACTTCTCTAGATGCTCATGATATCCAGCATAATTATGACTTCATAGAATTGGAATATAAGGGTAGGTGCGAAGTTTCGTTTAAATTTGTTATTGAATGTTGCCATGATCGATCCTTCTTCACTTGTTCCATGGCGGTCTATGCCATCAGACCGTTTTGTTCATACTCGTTCTTGTCAGCAGCATCTATATCTCCTCCCCATTGTATAATTTTGTCTCCGGCAATGGAAGCCTGCATTGTGTATCAGATTAAAGTTTTACTTTTATAAATCATATGTTCACTAAATGTAGGTCCATCTTTCAACAAAGTATATATCTATGAAGCTTCCATGGTTTTGATGTATGTAGTTACCTCTTTATTCCAGTTTGTGGTATAAATTATCCATAACATGGCACATGTTTGTGCCATAAATCCGGAAAGCATTCCATACCAGATTCCCTGAAAGTGCCATTGTGATAAGATTGTGACACATTTTAAACTAAGAGTTCTAATTTGAAATCTAAAGCTAACTTCTTCTTTTTTTAAAATTGCATACATTCAAGACAATGATGCTCCTTGCTAAAATGCAGATATTAATGTTAATGAGGTCCAAGTATTCAGACCAGATTTTCTAGATTCTTTATTATAGATAAATGAAGATGAAGGATGAATTACCTTTACACCCATGTTAAGAGTGAAACCCATAAGGAGACTCAAAGGAAGACCAAACATATAGTAGCAACCAATGTTCACACATGCAACCAAAGCTTGCCACCCTGCTCCAATGGCCACCCCTAATGCAGTACCATAAACTCAATGTTTAGTATTCTTAGGGTTAATTTCACAAAATCCCCCTAAACTATATGCATTATTCATATTGCCTCCTCATGCGTATTAATAAATTCTCTGAATTTAAAATTTTAAAAAAATTAAACAAAGGATTAATACATTACGAGGCATTAACATCTTAGAATCGCTCTTGAACTATGTGTTTTTCATATTACCCTTGATCTACCAAATAAACACCCTGAAAATAGAACACAATAAGACAAAGTACTTTATTAAGACTGATAAAAATGATTAGAAATGATGGATCTACTCTTATATATTACGAAGAAGAAGAAGAAGAAGAAGAAGAAGAAGAAGAAGAAGAAGAAGAAGAAGAAGAGAGTTATTAAATGTGAAATAGAGTTAAATGAATTTAGTAATGGATTAAGTGTAAAAAACCCATGAACTACAAAAAAAAAAAAAAAATTTTGCATGTTGCCCTCAAATTATAACTTAACCCTTAAGAAAATAAAAAAGGGCATTATAGAACTAAGAGTTATGTATGCACAAAATAAGGACATATTTAAAATCAATTGATACCAGAGAGAGCAAGCTGAACACTGGTAATGGCGATGCACGTTCCTAACACTGGTGTGAGTTCATATACAAGCTGTTCGACCTCTGTACTGGTTGAAAACAACGCTGGGTACTGGTTTCGGGTGATGAATAGAATGGCCGCAAGGGATATTCCAATTAGGAACGAAGTTATTCCAACCACTGCAACCGTAAATTTTGCAGTTTTTGGGTGAGCTGCGCCTAGTTCATTTGACACCCTTACACTGCAAAATTATTCAACATACAAGTGAGCAAAAAATTCCACTTTCATTTTTGTAAATAATTTACACTTGATTCCCCTCTAGTTATGATTTATTACACTTATCTCCCATGTACTTTCAATAATTACAATTACTTCGTTTCTAATTAGATGTATGCAACAAACCAACCCCTGATGTTTGTTTTACCAATGGTTTGAGATGGTCAATGTTGGTGTGACATATTTTTTAATTTCATATGACAAAAATGCCCATCAAAATGTTGTAAAGACACTTTTACCCAATGCTTGTTGTGCGAAACATAATTATACTCTTAAGTAACAGCATTTTTGTCAATCTAATTTTATTTAGTTAGGGATATAATTATATTTTTTGCACAATAAGCATTGGACAAAAGTGTTTTGATAGTAATATGAAAGACAAATTTGTCATATAATTTTTTTTTTTAAAAAAACTTGTCACATCAACAAATTGATGGTAGGGGTCAGTTTGTTATACATATACTATAATTAGAAGAGAGGTAATTGTAATTATCCAAAATACAAAGGAGGTAGGTGTAATTTACCCCCTTTTTTTTTTTTCCTTTTTTTTTCTTTCTTTTTTTTTTTTTACCTAAGCAAATTAGAAAAAATAAATATAATAAAAAATTCTATTTTTGTTTTGATTTTTTCCTGATCTTTTGTTGGTTAGAAAACCTAAGTTTGATGGAGCTAGGGATGTTTCTGCTTCAAACCTTATGGCTGCATTAAATCCATTAGCTGCCATAATTGTCCAGCCCAGTATGTTGTTGCTGCAAATTCAACAATAGTATATATATGATCTTGGATTTGTGAAGATATATATTAAAAGGTTTTGTGCTATTGTTGTTTATGATTTTCGATTGTTTTTGTCGCAAATGTCTGCGTGACCAATTATTGAATCGTAACAAGTCAACTTGTCACGATTTCAAGCCCATGAACATAGAAAGTAGGCGAAATTGAAAACAATAATTGATAATGAAGAAACTCACCATACAGAAGAGGCATCCACTGAAACCTCTTCATTGTCTAAATATCCAGCCAAGAGAACGGGGATCGCAAAATACCACGTCTCTAAGCTTCAAAAACACTTGTAATTAATAGCAGTTGTAAATTTGAAGTCCAAACCATTTAAAAATATATATATATATATATATTAAAAAAAAATAGCAATACTATATGAGTGGTGAAAAAAGGAAGGTTACACCTAAAAAATTCCATCTAATGTATTAAGTTCAACTTTGTTTAAAATAGTAGTAGATTACTAGTCGAGCTTTCTTGCTTATTTTGAGTTCTAACTTGTTTTCATACCAAATTCAAATTCAAATGAAGAGAATGAATTTTAAAATTAATCAACAAATTCTTAATAAATGAGTCATATTGACCGGACTTAACATGTTGTCAATAAACAACATGTTTGTTACCGATATTCGTGAAGCTAATGAGTTGAACTACAAGTTGTTTAACTCGTTTCCTTTACTAGTTCAAAACATTCAATTTTATATCGCTCACTTATAAAATAAATGTGTTGTGTTATGTGATCAATAACACAATTCAAAATTTAACTATGAATGAATTAGGTATTTATCAAATTAAGTATATTTGATATTACAATTTAAATAACACAAAAAAAACAAGGTACTAAGTAAAATTCAAAAAGTTACTTAAAAAAAAGTCACAAATACGAGTACCACTTAAAATTTTCAACTTTATAGAATTTTGACTACTTCATTGTTAGTTTTATAAAACAACAAGTTACGCAATTAGCAACAATATTAGGTTTTTTGAGGAATGACATCAAGAACCTAGCCTACTACGCACGTTTGAATAAGACACCCTATTAGTTTTATCACGTATCACACCCCTTTTCTTTTTCAGTTGTTGGATCAAATTTAACATAATGGCCAACAATTGGGGGTCAATTCGATGACATGAACTAGAAACTCACCATAGCATAACACCTGATGCGAGAGACAACCTAATGAACCCCCATAGATTTTTAAAGGCCTCCATTGAGAACCCTGTCCATGCTCCACCGCATGTCCCACTCAAAATATAGACCAGCTGAGCCACCACAATGAACCACCATGACGTGTTCAGCACAATTGCTGCACCCGCCAGTCCCCACCCCAGCTTCAGCATCAACAGCCAGCTAAAGAAAGTATGCAAAAATAAGGCCGCCACCGCGATCACGGCCATGGCCACGAACTTCCTCTGTGCCTGTAGAAACTTCGCTTGTGGGAAGGTCATGGCATAAGCAAATAGCTGCGGAATCATCCATACGGCGAACGTCCCTGCAGCGTCAGATATCTCGGCAGTCTGCCCGATTAGTTTCAAGAATTGGGTTGCAAATATATAGAGAGACACAAGTGCTAATGCAGCAGTGTTGAGAATAACCCATGATCTTTGCATGTATGTCCCTAGCATATCAATCTGGCCAGCTCCGAATGCTAGCCCACAAAGGGTCTCCAGTGCACTCCCCAAGCCCCACTGTTTCATAGGACTAATTAATTTCATGCATTCATTTCAATACTAAATAAATATGCACACAAATTGTGGCAGTAGCGACAAAATTTTTAGCTAGAAAGCAAATCTGTTGCAGAAAAGTAGATTTTGTGACTAATTTTGAATTTGTCGTATAATGTGTAATTTTTTGTTTTTTTAACAAAATACAGAATCTGTCAATTTCATAATCCTATAGGTTCCTATAATATTGAAGGATATGTTAGATATGATACCATGATGCCATAACCGATTGCAGCAATGACAGAGTTTTCAACGGAAAGGGCAGCAAGATCGATGGTTCCAAGATGGCCGGCAAAAACTTGAGTGATAGCGCACATGGAATATTGACAAATGGAGGTGACGATAGCCGGAGCCGCCAGCCGCCAGAGCTTCTTTGACTCAACAAAGAATTCTCTAAAGATGTCCCGGATTCCATTGGCTGGACCTATGTCGTTCTCATCATCATCAGGCAAGGACGAAGGTAGTGGATTATGGTCATAATCTCTACTAGTGGAGAGGAGTGGTTCATGCTCATTATTTTCCATATATGGCATAGAGATTTTCGTACTAGGCGTTTGCAAAGGGAGGGATTGAACTTGTACTTAGCTTTGTTCTATATCACATGAATATATAAGGAAGATATATATAGCCCCAGAATGGACCTATAAATTTGTATGAGAGGGGTAATATGAAAATTTCACAAGTATTCAAACAAGAAAAAGTCACTATTAATCCTCCCAATGCCCTCAGTCCGTCCCTAGTCCCAACATTTCACCAATGATGCACATTTTGTATCGCCAATAATGTACATCTTGTATTTTGTTAGGTCGCTTAAAACATTTCATAATTTATCAGCAAATGCATGTATTCTCTCATAATGTACGGAAAAAATTCGGTACATATGGCCAAAGAAATTCAAACTCCTCACCTTTTATACTCGTCTTTGCCATTAGATTATTGTCTTTGAGTTATTGCACTTAGACTGATTATCATTACAAATTAAGAATTTGTTATAATCCAACATGTTTCAAAGCTCGCAACATTGTAATTTTGGGTACAACCATATGTTAATAGTAGGTGGATGTGACTAATAACAGATAGTTGGTGAGACAGCCCGCCATGTGATCAACCAAACCACCATGGGAGAAATTTCCCCAACACAGTGACTATTCAGGAGTCCCATCCATCACTGTAATGCATGGTACGTATTTTCAGTGTCTATTGCCTATGAGTTGATAATGTAATCGTTTGAAAATTGAAACGTATTGGTTTTTAATTTATTTTTTTATAGTATGTTTTCTTATCTGTACATGTAAATCTTTCAAACTTAGGTAACTAGCCAATTCACCAGACGGACCTCTCAAACCTAATTGCAAACATTATTATTATTGTTATTTTCATTCATTTTTCTTTTCAATTTTAGTCATCTAACATCATTTGAAACATTATGAGTATGCATGATTTCAGCATACTCAATTTTTTGAGAGGAAACTACCTTCTGATTTTTATTTTGAGAGAAATGCATATTTCTTTTTTCTTTTTCTTTTTTTTCCTTTTTTTTTTTTTTGAGCATGATATAATTAAAATTTATGACATTCCAAGCACCAATACTAACTTTTTCTTGTTTGAAATCCCAAAATCATAACCATGTTAATTTGGAGCCTAATAATTTTAGGATCTAATAACCAAAGACTTGACTTTAGTGGCATATATATATTTTCCACCTTTCTCAAAACTTGGTTGAGAAAGCCAAAATCATGTTACGCCCAAGTGATGCATTAAAATACAAATTGATTTAAGCAATTATAATATATATATATATATATATATATATATTTCTCTAATCCCTTTATTACCAAAACTAAATTGGTTTAAGCAATCATATTGTTTTATGATTTTTGGTTAAGTTAAGCAATCATAATTTTTTTCTGTGTCTAATCCCTTTATCACAAAATCTTGGTTAGTTAAAAGGCCACAATCATATTGACAATCTTGACCGTGATATATTATTGCACAAGTATGATTTAACATTACACAACTCTCATTACGTTTACGCATCATCATTTGATCATATTCTAGATTTCTAATCTATCAATATCAACCTTTCTCTTTGTTGGTGGTTTTCTGCCTCAACCCTTTTGTCTCAATTTTTTTTAATGCATATTATTATGATCCATTTATAATATGATTATGATAATATTATTAATATTCTACATGCACATGCAGTTAGAAAATTCTTTGCTCTGCTTAGTGAATACAATAGATGAATTAATAATGTTCTACAATTATATTAGTATTATTATTTTTGAATGGTTACAATTATATTATTAATATTCTACAATTAGTCAAATATATATATTATATATTCGTAAGAATCGTATGATTTAACATTAGACAACTCTCATTACGTTTACGCATCATCATTTGATCATCATATTCTAGATTTCTAATCTATCAATATCAACCTTTCTCTTTGTTGGTGGTTTTCTGCCTCAACCCTTTTGTTTCAAATTTTTTTAATGCATATTATTATGATCCATTTATAATATGATTATGATAATATTATTAATATTCTATACGCACATGCAGTTAGAAAATTCTTTGCTCTGCTAGTGAATGCAATAGATGAATTAATAATGTTCTACAATTATATTAGTATTATTATTTTTGAATGGTTACAATTATATTATTAATATTCTACAATTAGTCAAATATATATATTATATATTCGTAAGAATCGCATGGGTTGCGTTTGCTTGCAGTTGCAGGCGTTAAAGAGTTGGTTCGGGTATATTCCGTTGACTTTAACTTGATTTCATTGACTTTTGTGTACAAAAAAAATCACTCATTTATCTTCAGGAGAAAATAATAAAATATAATTATTGCTTGTGACTAATTAGACAATTTAGACTAAGAAATATTTAGGTTGGTTGAGTTTTTTAAAAAAACAATTATATATAATTTGAAAGACAGTAAATTGCTTTCATAGAATTGAAAGTATGCATTATTTTAAGTTTTTTTTCCACAAAATACTAAAATTAGTAAAAAATTGATTACCAAACAAATTTCTCTACAATTTTTAAATGTTCAGTTATGTGAAAAAAAATTATTCTCAAAAATTTAATCAAACAGACCCTCGGAATTTTACATGTATATTTGATTATTTTCTTCACCCCTGGATACTTTATACTTCCTTGAAACAAGTCGGTGCATCAGTTTTTTTTTTTAAAATAAATAAATAAATAATAAAAATAAAAAAAGGTCGGTGCAGATTGATTGGACCTGTCCTTGGACTTAAGTTTGTTGATTTTTAATAGGTTAGAAACTTAGAATACAATATAGTCATGTTAGAAACTTACAAGTTAGTCATTCTCCGGTCTGGAGTTCTGTCCCATTCGCAACGAGAAAAAGTCTGGGAAAATGTCTCATTCAAATGGAGCATGGCACTTAATGAAATGAAATAAAATGTCCATTCTAGAGTAGTGATATAAAATTTAAAGTAAGTTGATGTTTCTCTCGGATTGAAAATTTATTCTATATCTAAATTGATATAAATTAAATTCTCAAATAAGTTTTTTTTAAAAAAAATCATGTTTCATGTCCAAAAACCACCATCATCATCACCGTTCAACTTCCATCACCACCACTACCTTTCACCACTGCCGCCATCCTTCACCGTCTTCCAACACCACCACCACTTAGAATGGTGATTATCATTTTATTCATATATCATTTCATATTTGCAACAATAAAATAAAAATGACCATCACATTTCTTATTTCATTCACAATTTCATTTCATTCCAAACTCTAACTAAACCAAGAATTTAGTTAGAGTTTCAATATTTCCCTTTTTGGAGGTGTCCTATCTGCCCATTAGTATTGACAAAAACAAGAATTACCTTACCTATTATATATCCATTGTTGATTTTTCTTTTTTTCTTTTTCTTTTTCTTATTTATTTATTTTTTTTTTCCTGAATCCTCACAATATCTTCTTTAACTGATATTGAGAATCTTGAACTACCATGTAAACATAGACTTCTGGGGAAAGAAAATGCATTCTCCAATTTTGCACAGACTCTGCAATTTTGCCCTGTTTCTCTGATTTGGTAGGGATTATTGGTATGAATTATTGAAATAATGTTGTGAAAATTGTTATAATTGCAATTATTTAGTTGTATCACGTTAAATTTTAGGATGAATTGTAGAAAACTCATTCAAGCAGAAGCTACACTAGGTAATGGACGACCTTGTACTGTGTTATTATATAACCGTAATTTTAGTTCACCACAGAAAGTAAATATAGAAATATTGTTCCAACTCTGTGAAATTGCATATCTGTATTTTACATTTTACAGAGATCTGTTACTTTGAATAATAATTTATCCGCAGTGAAATCAGAAAGTAAATATAGAAATGGTAATCTTGTTGTTGAATGTTGCCATGGTCTTGTTCCATGGCGCTCTATGCCGTCACACCATTTTGTTCATACCCGTTATTGTCAGCAGCATCTATATTCCCTCCCCATTGTATAATTTTGTCTCCGGCAATGGAAGCCTGCATTGTGTATTAGATTAAAGTTTTTCCTATTATAAATCATTCACTAAACGTAGCTCCATTTTTTAACAAAGTATATATATATATATATCTATGAAGCTTCAAGTTCAGCGAAATGATTTTTTATATCCATATGGTTTTGATGTATGTATATATATATAGTTACCTCTTTATTCCAGTTTGTGCTATAAATTATCCATAACATGGCACATGTTTGTGCCATCATTCCCAAGAGCATTCCATACCAGATTCCCTGAAAATATTTATGTCACTTGTCTCATTTTAAATTAAGCCAAGTTCTTTTATTTTATTTATTTATTTATTTTTAAATGGCATATATATATTCAATTAAGTATATATTCAGACCGGATATTGTAGATTCTTACGGTAAATAAATGAAGATGAAGAGTGAATTACCTGGACACCCATGTTGAGAGTGAAACCAAGTAGGAGACTCGAAGGAAGACCAAATACATAGTAGCAACCAATGTTTACATATGCAACCAAAGCTTGCCACCCTGCTCCAATGGCCACCCCTAATGCACCACCACAAACTCAATAAATCTTCCTAAACTATACGTATAATTCATATTGAAAACGATGAGGCATTATAGAACCAAAGAATAGAGTTATCTATATATATATATATATATATATATATATATATATATATCGTGACAGATTTAAAATCAATTCATACCACAGAGAGAAAGCTGAACACTGATAATGGCAATGCATGCTCCTAGCACTGGCGTAAGCTCATATACAAGCTGTTTGACCTCTGTATTAGTCGAAAATAAGGCCGGATACTGTTTTCGGGTTATGATTAGAATGGCTGCAAGTGAGATACCGATTAAGAATGAAGTTATTCCAACCACGGTAACGGTGAATTTTGCAGCTTTTGGGTGAGCTGCACCTAGCTCATTTGACACCCTTACACTGCGCATTTATTCAACATATAAAGTGAGCAAAAAAATTCTACTTTTATTTCTTGGATAATTATTTCCCCTTAACTTGGGATTTGTTAAGCATATCTTCCTTGTACTTTGGAAAATTACAATTAACTCTTTTCTAGTTACATATGTATAACAAATTAATTCCTGTTCTCAGTTTCAGTAACGGTGGTCAACGTTGCTGTAGTAAAAAATTGTAGCTTCATTTAACAAATGTCCTTCAAGTAGTTGTAAAAACATTTTTCTCTAATACTTCTTGTGAAAAGACAACTATACTTCCAACTCATAAAATTTTTGTCAATTTAATTTTCTTTGGCAATTTGAAGGGCATATTTTTCTTATAAAACTAAAAAAATTGTCGCATCAACATTAATCATCTTTAACCATTATTGAAACTAACGAGGTCAACCTGTTACACACATGTAATTAGAAATGAGGCAATTATAATTTTTCAAAACACATGTGAGGTTATAATTTTTCAAAACACATGTGAGGTGAGGTAAGTGTAATTTACCCTTATATTTTCACCTTACCAAATTTAACAAAAGATTTTTAAAAAAATAATAAATAAATAAATATACTTTTATTATTGATTTTCTCTGATTTTTTGTTAGTTAGAATTTAGAAAACCAAAGTTTGATGGAGCTAGGGTGTTTCGGCTTCAAACCTTGTGACTGCATTGAATCCATAAGCTGCCATCATTGTCCAGCCCAGTATGTTGTTGCTGCAAATTCAACAATAGTTAATGCTCCTTTTTTATTAAAATAACAGCAACAATATTAATGCTAGCTCTCATAATGTTGAGAACTACTTCAATGCCCCTTTTATTACCGTTAAATCCCAACAACCTACCCACACACACTGTTCATCAACACACAAATATATACACACACATATAATTATGAATTACTGTTCATCATCTTCTTCAAAACGCTCAGTGGTTTCTGACCAAAAAAAGAAAAGAAAAAAATCACACAATCATGAAAGCAAATGATACGAACTGATACAAAAGGAATTATAGTAAAAATTGCAGGGTCTTAGTCGACGGAACCTAAAATCCCCAAACCTTTAATTGGAATCGCGTACGTCGACGCCGTCCATTGTAGCAGAACACTCTATAAAGCAAACCCATTCACAATTGAATAACCCACAGAGTTTGAACAACACTGATTCCTCTGCGCTATTAGACAGCTTCTGTCGGGATATATCAAAAATGGAATCAAAATCAGAAAAATTTCCGCTCGAAGCTGTTGTCACCAAAGATGTTGATTCTTAGGCGGCTTCTTCTCAAATTGACGATGGTGAAATCGTCAAATTGACGATGTTGATTCTTGGGCGGCTTCCTCTCTAGTTATCTCTTTCCAGATTGAAAGAGATAACATAAAACACTGTCAATTGTATAAAATATAAACAAAATTGAAAATTTCTGAATCATTGTGCTCCAGAATTCCTTGGCTGTTGGTGGAGATGGACGGCGGGCAAGAATCGGCCGGCTGTGGAGAGCTTGGCTGTTGGCACGGCCGTGAAGAGCTTAAGGCGGCTGTGATGGTGAACTCGCGGCGGCTAGCTCGGCTTTGATGCTGTCTGCTGTGACAGAGGCCGCGGCGAGCTCGGAATGGGGAGATCGGTGGATGAGGCGAAGCTCGGCGCTGAGCTTGCGGCGGTGGTCGGAACACCGACGGCGGTGTGCTCGGCCGGTGGAGACGGCTGGTTCGGGGTTGGCTTTGACATCGGCGGAGAGCTCGATGGTGGCCTTAATTAGGTTATATGTTTGAGTGGCTGTAATTAGGTCATGTGGCTTGATTGGCCCACTTTGGGCTTGGGTTGTTTTCCCCCGGTCCGGACTTGGACTTGGTGGACTCGGTTTTGGGACTAAGGCTCTTGTACGGTTCTCTACATATATACAAAAAATATTTACCTTCTAAATTATCTTTCCTATTTTCGTTATAATCAATTGGTCGGAGATGTCACATTGGGATAAAATTATCTTTCACTATTTTTGTTATAATTAATTGGTCGGAGATGTCACATCGGGGTTTAATTACAAAAATTTAATAATTTAAGGAGATAAATTGTAATTCAGGGAGGTTAATTACAAATGGCCAATACTTTAAACATAAAAGGTAGAAGAAATTAAAAACAAGAGTTGGATATAATAAAGTGTAAATGAAAAAACTCACCATACAGAAGAGGCATCCACTGAAACCTCTTCATTCTTTAAATATCCAGCCAACATAACTGGGATTGCAAAATACCACGTTTCCAAGCTGAAAAAATAATAATAATAATAATAAATAACTCTTAATAGTTGTAGATTTGAAGTTCAACCAGTTGAAAAAAAAATAAAAAATAATTAATTAATTATCAATACCATTTGGGTGGCCCAAAAAGTAGGCCAAACGTAAAAGATTCCATCAAACTGTTAGTCCGTCTTTGGCTTTTTGTTCTCAAACAAGTCAATCAAACTCAGAACTTGAACTCAGTCAAGTCTAAGTTTGTTTGTTTTTTTGTTTATTTATTTATTTATTATTTTTTAACAATAAATTCAGATTTTCACTATTTCACTTGAATCTTTGAAATTCTACCTTCTTGAAAGATGGTAAGATATCGCTAGACTATAATAGTTGGTGCTTGAGTCAAGTACAAATATAAGTTTTTTTTGCTTAATTTTGTTTCAACTTGTTTTAAGCTAGTTTTAACTCCAAATTCAAGTGAAAAAAAAAAAAAACTGATTTTAAATCCAAACAATCATAAATGAGTAATGTTGACTGAACTCAATATGTCTATATATTAACAAACAAAAAAATGTTGGTGAGGTTAATGAGTCGAACACGATAAAGTGTATAAACTTAGCTCATTTTCTTAACTAAGTTTAAATTTAATTCATTTACTTAAAAAATAGATTTGTTATTGGATAACACAATTCAAGATTCAATTCTAAACGAATTAGATATATATATATATATATAAAATTAAGTATATTTAATATAAAAAAATTTGAAAAAAAAATTTGGTGACTTAATTATTACTAAACACTTAAAATTCAAAAAGTTGATTAAAAAAAAAATTTCTAAAATTTTACCACCACTCTTAAAATGGAATGAACTCGTCCACGATTTGCAGCATACTTTATCAATAAGACAAGGAATTTTTTTTTTTTTTTTAGGAATCACATCAAGAATCAAGAGAGGACTGTGATGCGATTCCTAGCATACTTTTTAAATAATTTTTACCGGAATCCCATAAAGAAGGAATGTGGTGGGTTCACACACACCCTCTTTTTGAGTTGTTGGGACTTCCAATATCAAATTTAATAGTATTATGGCCGACAACTGGGGGGTGTCAATTCCCATGAACTAGAAACTCACCAGAGCATAACAGCTGATGCGAGGGACAACCTAATGAACCCCCATAGATTTCTGAAGGCCTCCAATGAGAATCCATTCCATGCTCTACCACATGTCCCACTCAAAACATACACCAGCTGAGCCACCACAATGAACCACCATGACGCGTTCAGCACAACCGCTGCACCCGTCAGTCCCCACCCCAGCCTCAGCATCAAAAGCCAGCTAAAGAAAGTATGAAAAATTAAGGCCGCCACCGAGATCACCGCCATGGCCATGAACTTCCTCTGTGCCTGTAGAAACTTCACTAGTGGAAAATTCATGGCATATGCAAATAGCTGCGGAATCATCCACAAGGCGAATGTCCCCGCCGCCTCAGATATCGCGGCAGTCTGGCCGATTAGTTTCAAGAATTGGGTTGCGAATATATAGAGAAACATGAGTGCTAATGCTGCAGCGTTGAGAATAACCCATGATCTTTGCATGTATGTCCCTAGCATTTCAACATGACCAGCTCCGAATGCTAGCCCGCAAAGGGTCTCTAGCGCACTCCCCAACCCCCACTGTTTCATAGGACTAATTAATTTCATGCATTCATTTCAATACAAAATAAATATATGCGCACATATATACACTACAACAAATAGTGGCATTAGCCAGAAAAGCAAATTTGTTGCAGAAGACTATATTTTGTGACTAATTTTGAATTTGTCACCTAATGTGTTTTTTTTTTTTTTTTAGCAAAATAGAAAACCTGTTAAATTTCAAATATATGAAGCTATTTATTGAAAGATATGTTAGATATAATACCATGATGCCATAACAGAATGCAGCAATGACAGAGTTTTCAATGGAAAGGGCAGCAAGATCAATGGTTCCAAGATGGCCGGCGAAAACTTGAGTGATAGCGGCCATGGAATATTGAGAAATGGAGGTGAGGATAGCCGGAGCGCCGAGCCACCATAGCTTCTTTGACTCAACAGAGAATTCTCTAAAGAAGTACCGGATTCCATTAACTGGACCTATGTCGTTCTCATCACCAGCAGACAAGGATGAAGTTAGCCGATTATGGTCATATTCTCTACCAGTGGAAAGGAGTGGCTCATGCTCATTATTTTCCATGTTTGGCATAGAGATTTTCTTACTAAAGCGATGGATTGAACTTGTACTAGCATTGTTCGATCTGTATCACATAAATATATAAGGAGGTACGGTGGCCCCACATTTCACCAACATGCACGATCTATATAAGCAATGGCCCGGCCTCTCTCTCTCTCTCTCTCTATATATATATATATTATTGTTCTTTTACTTTTTGTAAAGACTGATGGTGTCACATCATTTGAAGTATCTCATAAATTTTTTTTTTTAATTAATACTCACTCGTATGTATCTTCACGGAGGTTCAACACTAACTTCTTTTAAATAAAAAAAAAAAATTTAACATCATTAGATCACTGACCTAACGTTACAAAATATATATAATGTCCCATTATCGAGCAATTATTTATAAAATTCCCTCAAACGTGAAGTAAAATTCCATCAAACGGGAGTCTTTGTCGAGATATATATTTATATATATATATATATGTGTGTGTGTGGCAGCGGTTGGATGACGTGTAGGGTTTAACATAACTGTTTTTATACGGAACAAAGTTGTGCGACTAATAACAGATCGTCGGTGGGACAGCCCGCTATGTGACCAACCAAACCAACCATGGGTAGAAATTTCTCCAACATAGTGCCTAGTCCCATCCATCATTCAAATGCACAGTATTTTTATGTCTATTGCTTATTAGTTGATAATTTATGTAATTGTTTAAAAATTGAAACGTATCGGTTTTCAAATTGCTTTTTATCATATGGTTTCTTATTTGTTTGTGTGATCATGCATTTATGCAGGATTTGTTTTCAAAATTAGGTTACTTACCAATTGAAAATGGCTACTTCATTCACGATATGGACCTCTCAAACCTAATTAAAAACATTATTATTATTATTATTATTTGCATTCTCTTTTCTTTTCAATTTTAAGTCATCGATCTAGCATCATTTGAAACATTGTTTTTTAGGTAATTGTCATTAGAAACATTGTTTTTTTGGTAATTGTCATTCGAAACATTATGAACAAGCTATGATTTCAGCATTGGCAATTTTTTGAAAGAAAGGTATTAATTGCACCATTTTTCGCATATTATATGATATAATTGAAATTTATGACGCTCAGCACTAATACTAACTCTTCTGTGTTTGAAATTATGAAACCATAATCATGTTAATTTCGAGCCTAATAATTTTAGAATCCAATCACTAAAAACTTAGATCGAGCTGTATATATATTCTCCATTTTTTTAATAGAGAGGTTAAGAATTGGATCTAAAAAAGTATAATATCTAATCTCATATTGTTTTTTTGTTCTATTTCGTTTGAAGGCACTAGCAAAATTGTTCCGTTGGTGCCATGTATTTGGATTTCATTAAAAAAATATCAAATAACCACATCAATATACATCTAACATTGATATTATCAAAATTATTAAACTAATATCCATGCACTTAAAACATTTAGCATGTAAAGGATCATAACGAAGAGCCAAATAATAACACATAAACTGACTTCTTGAATCAATGTTGGTAGTAATTTAAAGGGGTATAATGTTATGAAATTTGAAATTAATTTTATTTATGTCACATTCCAAAATTTCAAAACTTGGTTTGTTTAGAAGGCCAAAATAATGATAGTGGTATAGGAAGCAATCTTAAAGATTAGTCCAAGGTACGCATCATTATACAAATTGGTTTAAGCTAACTCACACAATTCTTGTTAATTAGTATCGCTCTTGCTCCCGTTTGTATTATGTAATACTTAAATTTTACCGTTTTAGCGCAAACTCTCTCGAACTTTTTGTGACTTAGGGTTTAAGCAATCATAATTTTTTCCTCTAATCCCTTTATTACCAAAACTAAATTGGTTTGAGCATATATGTATGTTTGTGTGAGAGATTTTTGGGTAAGTTAAGCGATCATAATTTTTTGCTCTAGCTAATCCGTTTATTACAAAATCTTCGTTAGTTAAAAGGTCACAATCATATTGTCAATCTTGACCGTTATATATATTATTGCATAAGCAATTCAATATGTTTTAATATTTATACAATTAAACAACTAATTACTCATATTATTATGATCAATGCATACATCATCATTTGATCATCATATTCTAGATTTCTAATCTATCAATATCAACCCTTCTCTTTGCTTGTTGGTGGTTCTCTGCCTCGACCATTTGTCTCATTTTTTCTTTAGGTATATTATTATGTGTTTGATAATATGATTATGATAATATTATTAATATTCTATATGGAGTTAAACAATTCTTTGGTGTGCTTAGTCAATGCAATAATCATATTAATAATGTTCCACGATTATTTAAGATTCTACAATTAGACAATTTTTTATTTTTATTTTCCTGTTTACATTCTTACTTTCTGTCCTACAATTAGTGAATCGTATGGGTTGCGTTTGCTTACAAGTTTTAATAAAGAGGTAGTTCGGATTCCGTTGACTTTAACTGGTATCATTGTCTCATTGACTTTCGTGTACAAAAAATTACCCAAAAACAATCATTCTTACATATACTGGAAAAAATAATAAAAGATAATTATTCCTCATTGTAAGAACCATGAGTAACCTAAATGGAAAATTTAGGGCATGTTTGGTTTGTTTGTTTTTTTTTTTTTTTTTTTAAATAAATTGTTTTCAAATAACTGAAAGCGTGACTTATTTTAACTGATTTTAAAAAATTGAGTACCAATAAATTTAAAATTTTCAGTTGTGTGAAAATAAAAAATTAATCATAGAATTTTAGATGTACTATATATTTTTTATATTCCTTCACGGTGGATACCTCCCTTGAAAAAAGGTCGGTGCAAATGGAGTGGAGCTGTCCTGGGATTTACGTCAAGGTCTGAGTTCTGGCCCATTCAAAGGGCGCAACTACAAGTCTACAAGGGTATTCAAAATTCCAAAAATATGGCTACTCTCTCTCTCTCTCTCTCTCTCTCTCTATATATATATATATATATATATATATCTTCAATTATTTTTGGAGTACAAGATAGAGATGTTACAAGGTAGATATATATATATATCTTCAAGTATTTTTGGAGTACAAGACAGAGATGTTACTTGTTTTTTTACGATTTTGAACAATTATTTTTATAATTAGGGTTAAATTTGGTTTAAAAATTTTAAATTTATATTTAATCTGGGTTGGACTTGATTTGAGACGCCAAGAACCCAAGCCCAATCGAACCCGAACCCGAATTATAATTTTATTTTTTATTTTAAATATTTTATATATATATATGTACTCTATATATGTATATCTTCAAAATGTTAGGATTGTTAACTTTTAGTCTTTACATTAATTAAGCCTAATGGTAGATGGTGTGCATTCTAAAAACATAAAGAATGAGAAAGTAATATAAAGTTTCGTTAAGTCAATATGTACATGATGTCGACATGATAAAGTAGCGTGGTAACTTGAATTTTAACTCGAAATTATAACTTGAGTTGTAAGTCCAAATTTAATCCAATCAAATAAAATATGTATATAAAGATGAATTGGTCTCGGGTTAGTTAACTCAAGTTGAAGGTAAGGTTGGGATTGAGTTAGAATTAAACATTTCACATATGTCAGATCGAGCTCGAATTGTACATCTAACCTGCCCAAATCTCATCCCTAATTCTAGAGCTCTTAAAAGTTCAATATAATTAATCTTGCTTCCATGCAATAACAATTTATTTCTCAATTATTTAATTTGTTAAAATCGTTTTTTATTATTTCATAGAGTGTTAGTTTTGATTAATATTTTTATCTCTTATCTTCCACTTGAACTAAAATTTCTAATTGTCATTGGTATATATCCAGTGGTTGACTAAAATTACTAATAAGAAGTGTGCTCCTATTTTCTTCATACCGTGTTGATCATTTTACTCTCATTGTTGGATATTTTTTTAAGATGGTGTTTATAAGAAATTTTTTTAAAATCATACATTAATCTCCATTGGCAAGTCTTGGGAAATTTGCCATCTCCCATACCATGAAACACTTCAACCACCACCACTCCACCCTAACTTGGACTCACCTAGTCTGGACAAAACCATCTATCCCAAAACATTCATTTACTCCATGGGTTGCATCTCTGCACACTCTGCAACTCTGACTTGGAAAGCCATGATCACCTATTCTTCAAATGTCCTTATGTCAAACCCTCGTGGTCATTTATACAAGCACATTGCGGGTTCTACATCCAACCCTCTTCGATCATGGACAGACCTCATTGCTTGGGCATCATATCATTGGCGGGGAAATTCAGCCTTCCATAGTTTCTCTATATCCAAGATGAGTCTTGCAGCCCTGGTCTATCATGTATGGAATGAACGTAATCGCAGGATTTTCCAGAAAAATGTACTATCAGCAAATTCTCTTCTCCATCAAACCTTACAAACAATTAGATCGAAGCTGCTAACCTCCACAATTTCGGATTCGTTCAACGGGAAGCGAATTGCAGAGGAATGGGAATTACCTGAGTCAGTGATACGACCTCCAGCGAAACCACCGGATCTTGCTATCTGAAATCATTGTGATTTGGTTGGAGTTCTCCTCCTTCACTACCGGAATTGCAACAATGTCCAACAACGGTTATTGAATTTGAATTGTGCAGAGTTGGGCTTGGACACACTATGTTTGGCCTCTCTCTAGCATGTTTTGATTTCCTTTGAATGTTGTTCCATTGGGCCTCTTACGCACAGTTTGCCTTTGGGCTCTATGTTAGGGTTAGCTATTGCTAGCCTGCCTTATTTCTCTTAATATAATTCACTTTACCTTTCAAAAAAAAAAAAAAAGTCTTAGGAATATTAAAATTATATAGTAGTATATGTTAATATTTTTAATTATACATAATTTTTTTTTTTATAACTACCCATTGTATATGTATATTGTTTTTCCTAGTTGATACTCACACACACATGCTTCCACCGAAGCTCGAATCCCTAACCTCCCTTTAGAAAAGTAAGCACTTGGTACCGCTAGGCCACTGGCCTGTTGATACCCATTATATAAATTACTAAAGAAAATCTCAATTTTGAACATT